CCTTGAACTCACAGAGATCCAGAGGGATTTCTATCTCTGGAATGCTAGGATTAAAGGTGTGAGTGCCACCATTTTCTAGCCTTTGTATCTAGTAGCTGTCTGTTCTCTGACCCCAGATAAGTTTATTAGAGTACACAATATTTTGGGGAACACAATACCACCACAAGCAAGCATGTACTACTTCATTTTTTTATTGATTCTTTGGGAATTTCACATCATGCCCCCCAATCCCACTTATTTCCCAGTTTTTCCATGTCTGCCTTCCAGCTTTGTAGCCTCTCCCCCCACAAAAAAGAAGGAAAATACGAGAATAAAGATAATTAAAACAAAACAGAACACTTCACTCCTCTGTCTTGCTCCTCTCCATCACATATTCATTTGTCATAGAGGCCTTGGGAGCTGCAGTGTATCACACAGTCACTCTTTTGCCCAAGCAGCTTTACTTGCAAATGTTCACTGCAGTGAGTTGTTGGTCTGGTTCAAGGCCCCAGGCTTCTACCTCACCAAGGACATCCTGCTGTTACCCCTAGTCATGGAGAGCCAGGGGCTATGGTTCTATAGGACCGGTTCCTTTAGGGGCTCCAGCAGGTCATATATGGGGTAGGCCAATTCAATGCCCTGGATGTGGGCCTGGGTGGTAGCTAAGTTGGTCAGTCTGGGCCTCCACTGGAACCACCCTCCCAAGTGAGGGCCAGGGCCATCTCTCCTGTGCCCAAGTTATCAGGGCCAGTTCTCCCCAACATATGGTGAGGGGTAGCGTCAGCTCTACCATTGCAGAGGCCGGTGGTGTTGGGCCTCAGTTTTCCCAGGACCATCAAGGGTTAGGGACAGCTCTCCTGTGCCCACAACATTGGGGCCAGTTGGGGGAGGCAGCTCTCCTGCTGAGGCAGCTAGTGAGGGGCCAGACCAGCTTTCCTGTGTCCAGGCCACCGGGGCTCTCTCTCTGATGGTCCCCAGTGGTAACACTGACCCTGGCTGTAGTAGGACCATGAACCTACTATATATGGCCCTTGGCTGCAGCAAAGGCCTGGACATCACCATGGCCTTGGGTGGCAGTGCAGGCCACTTGGATCAGTAAGGCCCCCAGCAGTAGTGGCATGGTTCTCAGACATCAGCATGGCCTCAGGTGGTAGCCCAGACCTCGAGCATCTGTATGGCCCTCAGTGGTAACATGGGCCACGGACATCAACACCAACCCTGGTTGCAGTAGGGCCATGGACCTAGACATGACCCTTGGCTGCAGCTCGAGGTGTGGCCATGGCCCTGAGTGGCCTCAGGTGGCGGCCCAGACCTCAAGCATCCAGATGCAGGGCTTTTGGTGGCAACACAGGCCATGAACATCAACACAGACCCTGGTTGGAGTAGAGCCATGGACCCAGACATGGTCCCTGGCGGCAGCACAGGCCACTCTTCTCAGTCTGTTCCTCACTGCCATTGCATCTTTGGTTCTGCTTCTCTCTAAGGTGCACAAATTGCTCTCTCACTTCTCCTTCTCTCCCATTTCTCCACCACAAACCTGTTCATCGCAGCCCGCTCGCCCGCCTGCCCACCTGGGCTGCTTGGCACTTGGCAGCCTGTCGGCAATGGAAACTTTTGTCCTGGGCTAGAGAGACAGCTCAGAGGGCTGGAGAGATAGCTCAGGGTTAAGAGATCTTGCAAGCTGTTCCAACAGACTTGAGTTTTACTCCCAGCATTCACATTGATTTTAACACATAACTACCTCTAACTCCAGCTCTAGGAAGTCCAACAAACTTCCGGCCTCCACACCTACCTGCTCATCTGTGTATGCATGCATGCAAGTGTGCGTGTGTGTATCTCAAGAGTGAGCACACAAATACTTTTAAGAAAAAAATTTTTGTTTTGTTTTGTTTTGCTTTTTTTTTGAGACAGGGTTTCCCTGTGTAACATCCCTGGCTATCCTGGAACTTACTCTGTAGACCAGGCTGGCCTCAAACTCACAGAGATCCATTTTTTAATCTCGTCAGTTAATAAAAAACAAATTCTGGGCCAGGTGGTGGTGGCACACACTTTTAATCCCAGCATTTGGGAAGCAGAGGCAGGCAGATCTCATTAAGTTCAAAGCCAGCCTGGTTTACAGAGTTCCAGAACAGGCTCAAGAGCCACACAGAGAAACCCTATCTTAAAAAAAAAAAAAAAAAAAAAAAAACAACTACTACTACAACAAAAAACAAATTCTGGAACTGGAGAGGTGGCTCAGAGGTTAAGAGCACTGGCTACTCTTCTGGAGGTCCTGAGTTCAATTCCCAGCAACCACATGAAGGCTCACAAGCATCTACAATGAGATCTGGTACCCTCTTCTGGCATGCAGGCATACATGCAGGCAGAACACTGTATACATAATAAATAAATAAATATATCTAAAATAAAAAAAAATAGAAAAGTAAAAGGAAACAAATTCTAAGATGAGGAGGCTGGGAAGATGGGTCAGTAGATAAAGTGCTTGCCCCAAAAGAATGGAGATAAGAGTCCTGATTCCGAGCACCACGTACATAACCAAGTATGCATAAGCAGCCCACTCTTAATTCCAATGCTCGGAAGGCCTGAAGACGGGGATCCTGAGTGTAAATTGGGTAACTGGACTAGCCAGAAAGAAGAGACCTAGGTTCAATTCAGAGATCCTGCCTCAATGAATTCAGAGAACAGCAATCAAGGGAGATGCATGATGTCAGACTCATGCCTCCAAACACATGGGAACACGTGTAAACATGCTCATGTGCCCCATTTGGACATACATCACACACAGAGCCATATTTAATTATAAGATGAAAATTCCCTAGTTTTCTACTACCAAACTAGGAAAACAGGTCTATAGAACTTACCTTCATCTCATCTCAATGAGGAGCCTAAGGCAAATGACTTAGTAAGCTACACTGAACTCCCTCTCACCATAACTACCTCTGTCCTCTTCCGAGAACTTTTCCATTACAAAGACATTCTGTGATACTCATCTCCTGGTCATCATTTCCTATCTACCATCCTCTCTCCCACAAGTCCTACACACACACACCAAGTGCTCTGCTTCTACTCCTGTCTTCAACATGCAATAACTGCAGTTTTACTTTCAGCTCCTCAAACCAACTGAATCTTTGTCCTGTCATAGTAAGTCACATACATTTGAAGCTAAACCAAGAATACTTTCTAGCCCTTCTTTTTTGCTTTTTTGGAATGTTGAGAGTTAAATTGTAGGCCTCAAGCGTGCTAGGAAACATGCTTTTTCATCTTCATCTCCAGGCAAAGAGAATCCCTGTCTTGAAAAATCAAAAGGGAAAAAAAAAATGTATCTGTGTGGGAGTTTGCTCATGTGCATTCAGTTGCCCGTGGAGGCCATAGAGGTGTTAGATCCCTGGAGGTGGAGTTACAGGTGCTTGTGAGCTGCCTTACAAGGGTGCTGAGAACTGAACTCTGGTCCTCTGAAAGAGCAGTGCACGCTCTTAACCACTGAGCCATCTCTCCAGCCCTATTCAAAGCATTCTTAATTAAACTAACAAATATTTACAAAGTTCCTTCTAAAACTGGGATAGCACTGTTAGCAGGAACAGTGACCTCACATTTACAGTTGGTTCTGTTCTTACAGCTTAGAATATAGAAGGGACATCATAAAGGAGCACACACATAAAAGAACAACAAATGCTGAGATCGTGGTGTAAATTAGACGAGTTGCTGAAATAATGAATTTAAATTTGAAGACTGAATTTCAGATAGATGCTGGAACTACTACGGCTCAGTACAGAGGGTCTGCCTAGCACGCACAAAGCCTTGCGTCTGACCCTCAGCACAAGGTCTAAGGATCAGACAATGATGCTAAGGACCCTCTTGATTCAGCCCCACTAAGTCACCACTTTAATAGTGAACTACAGACAGAGTATCCAGACACAGGCAATGCCAGCCTAGAGATGAAAGGCTCTTGGCAAAAGGAGACCAACAAGGCAGGGCATCATAGTCAGAAAGGTGAAGAGGTAGCAGGAGTCCATTATTCAGTACTCTTTTAAAGGTCACTGAAAGCAGTGAGAGGCCTTTTAAGCAGGGAGTGACATATATACTTGAAAGGATATCAACTTGTAAGAGACATTTAGATTTTTAAAGATGATTAGCCTGGGTATGGTATCACCTCTTGAGCAGGTTCAACCTCCATGTGCCTGCTTTCTCAAAGAGTAATTATTGCTTTTCATAGAGGACACTGGGAACAGAGAAGACATGGTCACTGCTGCCTCAGCTAGTCCAATCTAGCCAGAAGAATGCAAAGCTTGAGCTCTCTTCCTTCTGCTACACTAACAAAAGGTTCTTACCCACCACTTACTTACTCACCCCTTCAGTCCCATTGAGTCAAAAGAGCACTGGCCTCACACCTGTCCTCCTGAAACAAACAAAAACAAACACATATAGAATGTTTTTAAAACACATTCACAAAGCTTTTGCTGGGCAAGCAAATCCTCCCTCCCTTGAGCATCTTAGTTTCTTCTATTTCTCACACTGAACATGCCCCATTATTTGAGTAGCATATTTACAATATACTCCTTTTATGGCAAAATTTCTTTAAGGGGTTAAATTTCTATCTTTAAAAAATTGATTTGTTGAGAAACATTTCACATACTATATGATCCATCTATATAAAAGCCAAGGGAAGAGGGTGTAGCTCAATAGGTAGAGTATTTTTCTAGCATACATGAGACCCTGTTCAACTCCATAAACTGAATAATAAGTGGGTGCGGTGGTAGACACCTGTAATCCCAGCACTTGGTAGGTGCGAGTGGGAGGATCAGAAGTTCACTTACCCTCAGTGAGACAATGAGTTGGGAGTCCAGCCTAGGTTTAATGAGACTCTGACTCCAAAATGCACACACACACCCAAAAAACAATAAATGTCATTCCTAGCATAGAGGTTAACTTTCAAATGCAGAGATTTCAAGTATACTATACCTTAGCTCACAGTTAGTACAAATGGCTTTTATTGAAGTCTTTGAAATTTATTATTATTGCATGTGCATACATGACCTATGTGTGTGGGGTACCATCCCAAGCATGTATGTGTGGAGGTCACAGGACAACTTCATGAAGTTGGTTCTCTCCATTTACTTTAACATTGTTTCTGGGCATTGAACTGAGGTGGCCAGGCTTATGGCAGGTGATTTTACCTGTTGAGCCATTTCATCAGCCCATTAAAGACTCTGGAACTGAACATTGAACCAAGAACTTTTGTGCAGGCTAGTCAAGCACTGTACCACTGAAACAGTGTATTCTCTACATATCCTCGGCTGTCATAGTACTCTATTTCTACTGTATGTGGCCTCAAACTCACAGAGATCTGCCTCTGCCTCCCAAGTGGTAGGATTAAAGGTGTGGGCCACTATCATCCAACACACAGCAATTCTCCTGCCACAGCCTCCTGAGTACTAAGAATACAGGTGTGCACCTCCTACCCAATTCTTGAATGTATTTGCCTGGTTAAACAGCTTTTCTAGTTGGTTTACTCATCTTGAGTTTAGGCTGGGGAAAGATTTGATGTCAGTGTTCTTCCTTTCTCTTGGCTTTAAAAAATATTTAGTTTGAGGCTGGAGAGATACTCAGAGGTTAAGAGCACTGGCTGCTTTTCCAGGGGACCCAGGTCCAATTTCCAGCACCCACATGGCAGGTAACAACTGTCTGTAACTCCAAGATCTGACACTCTATACAGACTTACCTGCAGGCAAAATACCAATGCACATAAAATAAAAGGAAATAAATTAAAAAAAAATAAGTATTTATTAGTCACTTAAACAGTTAAACATAAGTAATTTTGCCTGCCTGGCTAGAATGTGTGAAATTTTATTTATTTTCTTCTTTCCTATTAATTGCCATTATTTGCTTATTGCTTCATCTTATAGCTTATATGAAAGTGAGAAATGTATAGATTTCACTTGGTAATCTTAAAACAAAGCCTGCTCAGCCAAGTGAAGTGGCACATGCCTTTAATCCTAGCACTTGGGAGGCAGAGGTGGATCTCTGTGAGTTGGGGGCCAGCCTGGGGGTCTATGTAGTGAGTTCCAGAATGGCCAGGGATACATAGTGAGACCCTGTCTCAAAAAAAGAAAACAAAACAGACAAAGCCTGCCTTTCCCCAGATTTTATTCTCTGTATTCACATCATAGGATATAATAATAATAATAATTATAAAACTATGTTTGATAAAGATATTGGCCACATTTTAGAATGGCAATATCTAAAATATCTTAGTTCAAAGCTAGGAATGGTGGTACATAACTATAATCTCTGCAGGAAGCAGGAGTATTATGAGTCTGAGGCTAGTGTGGACTACATAGTGAGATCTTGTCTCAAAAACTCAAAACCAAAGCTAAATGTAATACAAAATTGTACTCCCAGCACTTGGGAAGTGGAGGCAAGAGGAAGAGGAGTTTGAAAAAGCATTTTTAAAAAAAGTCAGTCATCTTTAGCTACATAGTGAGGTTTGAAGCTAGTCTGGGTTCATAAGACACTGTCTCAAAAAATTAATAAAAAATAAAAAAACAGTAAAATATGTATTTTTATACAAACACATATACATATTGGTCCTTATATGCCATTACACTTAAATGTTCTAAGCATATTAGTTAAATCCTTCCACAAGCATCATCCTCAAGTCACAGAAGGAAACCAAGATGCTTAAGATCACAAAGCTGCAGAAGTGGAAAAGGGCGTCTGACAGCCTATCTCAATAGCCTCACTTATACAACTATGCCTTAAAAACACTTTACTGACCGATCATCAAACCCTGCAAAAAGAGAAGTATGACTGTCCCAAGACCACATACTCTTGTGGTCTAAGATTATAAATGAACCTCACCCAATTTCTTCAACTGATCCTTAAGATTCACTTCTGACTATGCAAAAATATACAGATTATCCCATGAGAATTCTTTCAGGAAATAGGGATATGTTTTGATGTGTAAGTACATGTATATTTTTGTCACCACAATGCTGTTGAATTAAAACAGAAATAAAATTTGTTGTATGTAGAACACTGCGTTATAGTGTATGCTGGGGGTGGTGGTGGTGGTAACTTTTGCACCCACAAAAGCACCTGAACCACAAGAACAGATGTAGGACTGAAGGAAGGACTCTTTGGGCCTCTCAATGTTTTTAGTACTTAGGAACAGTGGACACTTTTTTTTCTGTGCATCTTTTATAACTAAGTAGTAACAGAACAAATAAAAGTTTATTTTAATAAGAATGGAGCATCTTTTTTAAAAAATGATTTGTGTTTATTGGCGTGTGTGTGTGTGTGTGTGTGTGTGTGTGTGTGTGTGTATGCCATGTATGTGCATATCCATGAAAGCCAGACAGAAGAGGGCACTTGTGAGCTGCCTGACATGGGAACTGAACTAGCAAAGCAGCAAGTGCTCTTTTTCTTTTTTTATTTACATTTATTGTATGTACATTTATTTTACCCACAGTGCTAGGTTTCCTGGAACTGGAGTTACAGACAGTTGTGACCTGCCATGTGGGTACTGGGAATTGAACCCGGGTCCTCTGAAAGAGCAGCCAGTGCGGTTAGGAGCCATCTCTCCAGCCCCTCAAAGGCACTATTTTTTTTTCTGTAAGCATCTTTTATAACTAAGTAGTAACAGAACAAATAAAAGTTTATTTTAATAAGAATGGAGCATCACCTTAACTGTTAAAAAAAAAAAAAAGAAGAATGGAGCATCATGAAGTGGTCTTCAATCACATTTCACCTTTCTGGAAGGGAGCTATGGATACGGTCTCTCTCAGAAACAGCACAGCAGGCTTCTATTTGAATTTTTACAAATATATATGATCAGCACCTTTTGATATTTTCAGTAAAACTCACTCTATATTGTATCAACTGAGAGAAGTATGAGTAGGCAGCTCTAACCTAAAAACCAAGCGATCTGTCCTATCATCTATTAACACTACACTATTCTCACATTTAATGGCTTACCAAGAAAAACTCTGCAGCCCCAGCATCATAAGAGATAAATTTAATTTCTACAACAAATTAAAATAGTAGATAATTGGGTCCACAACTACTTTAAATATTATGCAGTTGTTTTGTTATTATTGATTTTGCTTCTGGGCAATTCTGGGGATGGAACCCAGGGAGGGCTGCATGCATGTTAAGCAAACACACTACCATTGAGCCCCACTCCCCAAACCCACTGCTACTTTAAATAATGGGTTTCAAAGCTCCATGATTATAACTACCTGCAACTACTATAAACCCTAGCGTTTAATCCACATCTCTCAGCTTTTAGAGTTTATAAAAACACTGTTTGAGTGCCTACTGAATACCATGTACTATACAATAAGGTGTGACTAAACTATTCTATGAGAAGTACTATTTTTCTTACCTTACACGACAGAAAGTTTAGAGATTAAGTTGTCTGACAGGACATGGCTAAGAAATGGCAGGGGAAAAAAAAAAACCTCAAAAATCAAATATGCTGGATCCCAAAGGGCCTACTTACATCATGTATATCATACTATATCATATTTTAAGCCCTTTCAATGTGAATGAAAATCTCTATCTCAATTTTGTTGGTCTTACTGTGGTTTAATTAATCAATTTTAGCTTTTTGAGACAGGGTCTGTTTACCAACCCCTGGCTACCCTGGAACTCACTATATAGACCAGGCTGGCCTCAAACTCACAGAGATTCACCTATCTCTGCCTCCTGAGTGCTGGGATTAAAAGCGTGCCCTCCACATCTGGCAGTTTTACTGTGATTTAAGACACGGACAGCAAAAGGAAATGTGTGCATGTATGTGTACCCAGGATTTTTATTTTATTTTTTAACACCAAGGATGGAATCCAGGGCCTTGGTCACGATAAGCAAAAAGAAATCTCTGCCACTGTGTCTGGCAAGATGTCTCAGCAGGTACAGGTGCTTGATGCCAACCCTGACAACTAGAGTTCAAACCTTGGAACCCACATGGTGGAAGGAAAGAACTGACTCATACAAACTGTCCTCTGACTTCCATATTAGCATGCCCCTCCCCCCCTCTCTCTACACACACACACACACACACACACACAAGCAATTAAATTTAAGTTTTAAATACTGTTTTGAAAGAAAGAAGAAAAGCAGCTAATATGGGAGGTTGTTTCGAAGTTGAAAATTTAGAGAATTTTTTCTGAGTCACCCTCTCTATCAGATCAGAGCTACTAGGACAAGTTGTGATATATGCTTAGCTGTGTTTTGCCTCGGTTAGTACATGACCTGAGTCCCATTCCTAGAATGCACAAGGCAGAAGGAGACGTGACTCCTACAAGTTGTCAAGTTATCCTACAATATCAACATGTGGACTGTGATGCACACCCATACATACATACATACATACATACATACATACATACATGCAAA